CGACTATTTTCGCATCCAAAATGAAAATGGAATTGTTGAAGAGCGTACTCGTCACAATCCAAAGGACCGCCACTGAGTTTAGCGCCTCCCTTTGAACTGTCGATGTTGACAACAGGAGAATGGCCAGCATTAAGTAGTTCTCCAGTCACTCGGCCGCATGGGTTGTCAAAGCTAATCTTAAGATCAGGATAGCTTTTCTTCTTCACTTTCTTTGTTTCGATGTTTACGGGAGACTGGAATTTTCCTCCACACAACGGAAAGACCTTGGACCAGTTACTTGGAGTCGGGACTGTTGAAACGAAAACCAATCGTCAATAACAATTCTAACATAACCAAAGTAAAGCTTGCGCTCGGATTGGTCAATTTAGTGTCCACAATTTGCCCATGGGTGTACCGGCTGCTGAGGTGAGCAGATGCAAAAACAAGTTTTCCGCACGCGCTTGTTTTTTGTGGTCACGTAAGATTTGTTAAATAAAAGAAAACTCTTTTGCTATAATGTATTAATGTTAGGTTATAAAACAAATGGTAAACGCCACAGTGTACACTACTCAATTATGGATGCGCTTGGGAGATTTCCTGAGCACTCAAGAAGCTAGAGTCGCTCTCAGCTATCGCCCCGCGCGACTCCTTAGCAACTATTTGGTTCAATGCGAACTTAGCTATCGATTACTTTTAATTTCCCATCAGATTAACCTCATAGTCAAAATTTGACCTCATTCAATATTCTCCAAAAAGAGATAAAACATCTAGGATTTTTAATTTGGCGTAGGTTTATGTACCAAATCTTTTCAGAAAGTTTAAGCTTAGCAGCCTCCTGCGTAAATCCATAACTCATTAGTGTATACTATAGTGTTTACCATTTGTTAGTTTAGACATCTTGGTCAAAGGAATTGAGCTTGCATGTGACTGGAATTATTTTATTGAGCTCTGTGATATTGCTATTAGTTTAACTAAATTTAATTGTGAGTTTGCCGTGCACCTTGCTTGGAAATCTCATTAGTTAAATGCCCGTAGAGGTCGACGAAACTTTGTCAGCATTCTGACAAACCTGAACATATTCATCAATTGGTCTTTCCGCCATTACGAATTAATACAATTGCTTTTGACTTGTGTTGCTTACAAGCTATTTTTGCAGTAGGAGAATAGAACGGTGTCAAATTTAGCAAATAATCGGCCGGTATGATATATATCTGATTTAATCATGGGCGGAAATTTGGCGGGGAGATTAAAGACAAAAAATAACTGATTGAAGAAAGAGTAATAAAGCACAAAAAGACAAAAACATAACACTATGGCAGAAAGAATCTTAGTAAAAGGATAAGTAGTGAAAAAAAAAAATTCGATAAGACTTTTCTAACCAGATGATTCTATCATATGGCAAATTCAATTTGTGTACGAGTACAACTGACCAATAGTTTTTGTCATAAACCTAAACTTTTATAAGTTTACAAAAATAAAATAAAAAAAAGAGTATTACCTCCTTGTTCAGACATATAGCCGTACTCTAAATGATAAAAGTGTGAAAAAAAAAGAGGGTTAGTTATTCCGATACTTAAAGAACTGGATAATGCAACTTCCTCATCTACAGAAATTCTTTATATATTGATAATTACAAATTATATGAAAATATTAAGGCCAAGATTGTAATATCTCAATATCTTGCGCCGATTGAAGCCAACTACTTGCCAAATTTATGCTTTCACTTATTACAAGAGAATACGCCTATCATTAGTGCATCTGGATTTTTCGCTGCGATTTCAGTCGCTTTTTCTGAGATATAATCCAAGGCTGCGTAATTTTTGTTATACAAGACCGTCAAGTAACTAGAAAATAAACATTCATGCAACAAAAACACTAGAAAGTGTTTGTCAAGTCAATATCAGGCCACATATATTTGGCAGAGAAATTATAACAGGAAACTTACCTTGGCACATGGCCGCAGCGATCATAGAAATTAGCCACAGAAAATACATCGCAGTTAACTGGCCTAAAAATGAAATCATGAGTATAACGTCAACCATAACTGGTGAAACAAAATAGTTTTAATCTAACTTCTGGGTTTACAATGTCGCTTATACATTCAACGTAAAAATATTAAGGTTAAGCAAATGAAACGAGAGTTTCCTTTCCATGATTTTTGATTCTGTATGAAAAATATCTAAATTTGGTACATGTTTTTGACGAACAAATTCTTTTCAACATTCTTTTGAAAGGAGAGCAAATGTAGGTGTCGACTTTCCAATTCAAAGCGACATTTAAATTATATTTAATCATTATTATAGCGAGAACAGGCCACACAGTTAAGCTTTGATGTCACGAAGTAAAATATATTGTTTACCGTCTAAAGATTGAAAATGAAAAATATGCCAACTAGCTAAAAGTAAGAAAAGATTTGTCAGGAGAAAAACGTAATGCAATACAAAGGGTGGGTCCAAGTCCGACAAACATCTAAGTGCACGTGAAATACATAAAGTCAAATGTTTGCACGTGAGTTGGCGCAATAGTTTATGTTCGCGCTGATATATATGCTGGTTGGAAGTTGATCTGATGAGTGATCTGGCACGTGAGCTGGCACATAAATTGGCACGTGAGATGCCAATTTAGATGACAGAGTATATTAGATATAGGTTTAACGATTTGCGCGGTGTTACTTAACATCTTCCTCACAAAAACTTTTTTCAATGAGCAAGTAGACTGAAATTTTTATCCTTAAAATCAGTCCGTGAAAATTTTCTCGGAAAGGAAAAATTTGAAGAACAATTTTTGCGCGAAGATTGAGTTGGTTGAAAAGACTTGAAAGCAATAGAAGCCGAAGCAACTATTTGGTTCAATGCGAACTTAGCTATCGATTACTTTTAATTTCCCATCAGATTAACCTAATAGTCAAAATTTGACCACATTCAATATTCTCCAAAAAGAGATAAAACATCTAGGATTTTTAATTTTGACGTAGGTTTACGTACCAAATCTTTTCAGAAAGTTTAAGCACGAAATGTGTCCAGTTTTAGAGCTTTTGTCTATTTACTTTAGTCTTTTGATTGTCGATGATCAGTAAAAAAAAAATTATCGTTCGACATGTTCAATGTACACTTTTGCCTTAGTTTAAAGAACTTTTTGCATATTAGTTGCAGATCTGCAGAACTGATCTATTTGTCGCTGACTTCACTAAATATCTGTTGTAGTTGTTGTTGATTTAAGAGATACAAAAAACTCTTCAAAAGCAAACGAGGCAAAAAAAACTGACGCCAGAGAAATACGAGTTCAGGCTCAATTTCGGTTTACAGAAAATAGGAGGTGCACCGTTGTATCTTCAATTAAAGGAAACAATTTCATTTTCTGAAGAAAAACTATCAAGTTACGACTAGGAGACCCGTTCTAAAGGAAAAGTCCCTGACTTACGGGGGGAAAGACGAGCTCAAGATTTCACTCCGTTTGTTCTCACAAATTAAGTATCCTTTGCTCAGCTATCGAGGCGAAAGAACGCAGAAATTTGCGGTTTCTACTAACGACGAAATCGAAATTGAACGCAAAATTCTGGATCAGTGAAATAAAAAGGATTTTAACATTGAGCTGGTGAAAAAGAGTAACCAAGAGTAACTGGAGTTTAAGTGAAAGGAAGAAAGAAAAAAATTGATCCATCTTGGTGGGCTATTGTAAAATTTTCTTCACTTACTTGAAATTCTTTCAAAGGACCTCTTTCCAATTTCGGATCTGTTTTCCTTGACTAGTTTCTATGAAAGTGATTCGATCTTTCGATGCAAAGAAATTTAAAGTCTAAGGGTTGGTCAGTATCACTTGGAAAATATCCATAACGTCATTAATTTCTGTCAAATTGATATTGTTTAAATTGCCCCATGCCACTTGGTAGGATCAAGGACCTAAATGTCTCCTCGAGCGGTATTCACAGACAAAAATAAGTATTTGCTATACTTACACAGAAATATACTTACACAGAAATTTACAGAAGAAATTGCCATCTTAATCTCGTCCATTATACGGAAGTCAATTTAGAATGACAAAAATTTTATAAAAAGATACATCAAGGGAGAGACTGAACATGGTTTTGATCTTTAAAATACAAGAAGGAAATTTTTTATAACACCGTATTCCAGAAACAGAATATCACTGTAACATACCTACAGTAAAACAAGCTTTCTGATTGGACCAAAGCGCTATCTTTTTTAACCTCTTTATATTAGCCATAATGTATGTCATTGTATCTATAGTCGTCTCACGTTATCTATGTGCGTCGCACGTGATCAAGACATGCACACCGTTATATTTTCGCACGTGCTTCTCAGAGGAATCTTCTCAATAAACTGCAAACTAAAAGGTTTTAGAGTCGTTGTAGATATTGTTCTGAAATTACTAAATGGCATATTTTTGTGGTCCCTAACCGTAAACAAACTTACATATTGGCAACTCAAAAACAGCGTTTATTAAATTGGAAATACTTTTAACGCTTTGTAGCTATATTTTTTGGCTTTAAAACTATGATATGTTTCTTTATTATCCAAATGTGCTTCGTGGAGTACAAATAACGCGCGAAACGAGTACAAATATCACGCGATATTTTTACTCCAGAAATATCCGCGAAATTCGCCTGCACTGAATAACAATTTGGTGTCTTGGATAATAATTTCTCCTATTAGAGGTTTTGTTGTGTGGTATCGCTCTGTATTTTTACTCGTTGTTTGTATTTTGACTCGCCCCACGGGCCCGTCAAAATACGGCACAACCGTCGTAAAAATATATATTAACTTCTTGAAGCACTCGATAATATATTTGCTTTCATTTAGTGTTATCTCTGTTATCTTTTCATCATTTTTTTTTGTTTTAATTGTTGAAAATGTTATAACTACTGTCTTGTATTAAGAGGTCTTCATGACGAGTGACTCGCCTTATTCTGACTCGAGTGCCTGACCAGTTGCAGCGTAGTTTAAAAATGCTGGTGGATGCCGATTGCTTAGTCGCGATCTTTCTTTCAACTTCACGATCACTTTTATTCCATTTACAAAAATGTCCTCCCTATTTCTTTACATTTGTTGGCATATTACCGTTTTTGCCTTTCCAGTGAGTGTACCTTAAGACAGCTAGCCAGATTTGAAAATTTGCCAAGTTCTTAATGGGAGAAGAGAACCATCTCTTTTATATCGCTTTACGCAGTTGATGAGTAGGACACGTTTGCAAATGGTGGTGTCACTAGCTGTCAATTCGTTAAAAGCCCGTCACATGTACGGTGCGCTTACGACTACAGTGTAATAATATTTTCAGAAATTAAAAATACCAGTTTATTCAATGATTACATCTTATTTAAAAAACGCTGACATTTTACAAATTTTTAGTCATAATTCGGGTAAATTTTTACCAATCCCGTTGCCTCTTTTGTTTTTCATCCCTACTTTTACACTTTTTTTTTCTGTCTTAGGAAATTATTACATTTTTTTATTCCTTGAATTGGGGCGTCGTAAAAAAACTATTATYAAWRKAAA